TGGGAGAAAATGGTGTCATTTTCTTGGGACTCAGATGAGTTTCTGTAGTTGTGAATTGGTATTAAAAGCCTCACACCTTACCATTTGACCGCTCCTTGTTTGTACTTCCATCATGATGCTATTATTCGTGTTGAAATTCAGGCAAGGCTGTAAGAGATAGGTCCAACTCATCTTGGACTTTGAACACGCAGCCTCAGGCACTTTGCTATAGCAATAGAAAGCAAAATAAAACGCCAGCACCCTTCCTAAATATGTTAAAGGCATTACAGTATGATTTCCATCTTTAGAGGCAAGTCTAACTGGATATTTCCATTTAGAAAGTGTCACGAGACATATACTTTTCGAACCAGGCTTGATGGTGGAAACCAGTAATCACCATACTTGCGAGGCAGAGGCAGGATGATTCCCCCACATTCCAGCCCAGCCTGGTTTCCTTGAGGAGGGGTGAGAACTGTGCTTATCTATAAGTACAGGAATGCCAACTTTGAAGGGAGGGAAGCAACCAACCAGTACTACTGCACATCCATGATGTCTATGAACACACAGCTGACATGGCGCTATAACGCATGGACACATTGGCCATCACCACCATCTCTCTGAAAAAATCATGCGTGGGACTGGAAACCTAGCGAACTACAAGGGTCTAGTGAAGTCATGGAACTTGGAGGAGAACCTACAACCACCACTTTACAAAGCCAGTGTTATTCCTAACTGCCTAAAAACAAAGATATTAGCCGCATGTCACCCACCAGTGCCCTGCATTATCTCTTTGATCTTTCCTTTTACGTTATACATATTATTGACATTTGTGTTCTGTTCCGAAGTATTAACGAGATCTTCCTCTCTTTGTCTTCCAGGATAGCTCTTAAACCCAAAAACCAATAAATAGTATTTACATTGTCTTGACTTTGTAAATATTTTTTCCCAAAATCCAGCTAAGTAGTGAGCCAAGAATACACTTCCTTCTTTACAAGTCCAGTGTCATAAACCATGGGCCTCTTAGAGGAGATTTTGTTCTAGCATTATGTTCTCTTATACTCCATTAGTTGCTTATAACCATATTTTATCTTATTTTATATTTGAATCACTATTTTCTTATATATATACATATACACTTTATAACAGGTTTTATTCTTCCATAAATGATGTGCCTTTATTATGTTAACTCGTTGAACAAATATTTGCTGAGTGTCTGCTAGGTGCTAAATGCTGTTCTGCGAGTTAGAGCCATAGCAGTGGAGAAGACAGACACCAATACCTGCTTCTCATAGAGCTGATTCTAGTATGGGAAAGAGAGGAAACAATCAGATCAAGAAATAAGATCTGAGCCAGAAGGTGGTGGTGCATGCCTTTAATCCCAGCATTCGGGAGGCAGAGGCAGGAGGATCTCTGTGAGTTCGAGGCCAGCCTGGTCTACAAAAGCTAGTTCCAGGACAGGCTCCAAAGCTACAGAGAAAACCCTGTTTCAAAAAATAAATAAATAAAATAAATAAATAAATAAGATCTGTAACAACTTAAATAAAGTGTTATGGAGAAAACAAAATTCAGGTGTATTGGTGCACTCCTTAATTTCAGCATTCAGAAGCCTAAAGAAGGAAGATCTGGAGTTTGCGACCAGTTTGACTTACATATGAGTTACATAGTAAAGTTCTGTCTCATAGAAATGAGGAGCGGGGGACAGGGAGGAACTAAAAACCAGGGTAAAAGAGAGAGGGGGGATATCAGTGAAGAAAAGAGGTTATTTCAGTTTTAAATAGGTTGGTCAAGAAGTAACTCCCTGAAATGGCAAAATGTGAACAAATCTTCCATAAGGTGAGAGAGCTAAGTGGATATCTAGGAAAAGATTTTCCAAGCAGAAAGGTCAGTGCAAACACATACCCATGGCATCTTTGCCCATCCCTGGCATTTTGAAAGAACATGAAGCAATAGAAGGAGAAGGGAGAGAAGTAACAGGCTGAGTGATGAGAACGGAAATGAGGGCTTGCCTGCATGGCCCCTCACATAAGGCTCTCTCAGTGAACCTTGGTGGCTTTCACCATTTTAACAGAGATACGAAAGGATGCGGATCGGGTCTTAAGGGGACCTGGAAATACACTGGCAGAGGACAGAAGAAGAGAATCAGCATGGGAGCTGCTGCAGGGCTGAGACAGGGTTGCGGGCTTCTGGATTCACTGTTGTGGTGCCTATTCTAGATGTCTTTCTTCAGCTGTAGGAAATTAATGTCTAATACATTTTTATTTTGGTTTGGGAGCAGAATTTCTCACTATGTAGCACTGGCTAACTTGACACTCACTATGTAGATCAGACTGACCTCGGAGCTACAGCAACCTTCCCCGGCCTTGCCATGACAGCTATGCAGCACCCTGCCCAGCTCCTGATACCTTTAAAAAACTTGTTTAAAATTTTTTCCACCCCTTTTCCTCATCCTGGGTCGCCTTGTCCAGCCTTAATAGGAGGGGAGGTGTCTAGTATTACTGCAGCTTAATATGCCATGTTTGGTTGATAGCCATAGGAGACCTGCCCTTTCCTGAACAGAAACAGGAGGAGTGGATGCCATAGGGGCAAAGGGAGGAGAGAGGGACTGGGAGGAGAGAAGGGAGGGGAAATGGCAGTCTGGACATAAAAATAATAAGTAAAAAAACCTTTTTTCATACAATGTATTTTGATCATATTCTTTCCCTTCCCCAAACTCCTTCCAGATCATCCCCACTCAGCTGCCCACCCAATTTTATACTCTCTCTGTCTCTCTATGTCTGTGTGTCTGTCTATTTCTCCTCACAAAACCCAGGGAAAACAACAAAAAAATTAAGAAAACAGATTTTAAAAAGGGAAAAACCAATATGGCAAATATACCAAAACAAAATCAAAAACTACACACAATGTTTCTTTAGTTTTTTTTTAGTCTGTAGCTCATTTCTCTGAGTGTTGTGTCTGCTATGTTGATCTGTGTTTTTGACATTTTCTTTCATATTTCCTGTTTATTTTGTTGTTTCACTTTACATTCCAAGAGTTTTTCTTCTATGTTATTTTCCAATCTTTCTGTTGACATTTTTATTTCCAGCAACTTCTTTTCCATTTCTGAGGTGTCTTTCTTTTCTCTGATTGTTCTTATTTTGTAGCATCTAATTCTTGTTTCATACATGTCATATTTTCTTGAATGATTGGCAGGTATAATTTTTCTCCTGAAGTTCTCTTTTGTTAATCAAATTCCCGACTTTCTCTGTTTTTTTTTTTTTTTTTTTTTTTTTTTTNTTTTTTTTTTTTTTTTTTTTTTTTTTTTTTTTTTTTGGCTTCTTGATTTCATGGTTCAGGCTTTCTTAATTTGCCTGGGAACCCTTGGTTATCTTTTTGTCTTTAAGACAGAGTGGGCACCTGATGGAGTTTTTTCTCTGTTGCTATACAACAAAGCTTTTCTGAAGCTAGGACTGTCCCCTATGAGGAAAGTTTTTTCTTCTTCTGTTTTAAAGAGATGGTCTCCCATATTCTAGACTGTCCTTAAATTCCCTATGGGACTGAAAACAAACTTGAACTTCTGATCCTCCCTCCTCTACCTCCTGAGTGCTGAACTTAAAGACAAGCTACACTACATCCCATTTGCACAGGGCTGAAGACCCGACCCAGCATTTCATGACTGTTAGGCGGGCATATTCTACTGACTGAGTTACATCCCTAATGCCTGAACCTGCACTGGGAAAACCGCAATGGGAAGCTTTGAGTGGCCTTGGAGTAGGTGGCAACTGATAAGATTTGGGACCCCCAAAAGCCAGAATGAGTCTTTGTTGTGCTGTGCTGAATGTCATAGGGCAAATCCAGGTGTCTTTGCCATCTTTGTGCCAGTTTATGAAAAGTCCTCAAAGGCTTTTGCCCTTGTAGATAGATGCTGGATGTCTTGGAAATGTAACCTATGTTCATATAAGTGTAATAAAGGCTCTGATACATGCTAATAGCCCCTGTATGGGAACACTACTCAATCCATCTTCTACAGGACCTTCAGATACTGGACTCAGAGCATTTCAGCTCTGTTTCGTTCTGCCCCTTTCATGTCCCCAATGGGACAAGGGGCTTCCAATGCTCGTTTGTTGGCATTTTTGAGATAGGATCTCACTGTAGGCCAACTAGGCATGGAACTTACCATGCAGCATAGGCCGGCGTCAAATTCATAGCTTTTCTAGAAAAGTCTCCCAAATGCTGGTCTTATGAATGTGTGCCACTATACCTGGCAGCTGTACTTCAATTTTTGCCATTCCTCATCCCAGCATGCATTCACTGAATACCCACCAGATGTCAAACATTCCCAAAGTGCCAGCTCAACGCTGACACTTTCGGAAATGGCACTGTTATCCTCATTTCACAGATTAGGGAACTGAGGTAGCAGAGTGGTTAAGTTTCCTCGCTGAATATTATGCAGCAGAAAGCAGCCGAACTGCAATCCCAACCCAGATGTTCTCAGTCCCGAGCCTCTATTTTAAATGATTGACTGATCCTCTTTCTCATCTCCAGTGCAGCCCATCTTGACTGCTTCTTGAGATTGGAAATCGCATGTCTGGAACCCCTACACCATTATAGTCCCTCCTGTGTCAAGACTAAAGTGAGCAACAGAAAAGACCAACGCTGGGTACTTGCCTCTCCAACCCTCTTTAAAGGTTGCTACCTTTTTAAGATGATCAGTACTCAGTGACCTTTCTCTGGCTCCAGTTATTGAGCTCCAGTGGATGTTTATAGGAAAGAAAAACCCCACCCTGAGCCAACATAGCAAACAGACAAACCCAGCACTCTGGTATGCTTAGTTTCCATTCATCTTACAGCTGGATGAAGGGGAAAAAGGAGGCACCGAGCTGGCCCTTCTCCAGGCAAGATGCCAGCCTAAGCTCTTGGACAATCCTGGTTTGTGTAGGCCTCAATGCCACATTCAGAGACTTCCCCACCCTTCAGCATGGTCCCTCCCTCTCAAGAGAAGGCTACCTGCAGATTTAAAAGAGGAAGGCCTTGAGGATCAGACATTCTGGATGAGAACAGCAGGCCCAGGCCAGAAGTGGCACCATGTCTGAATGGAGGTGCCTCGGCCGTGCCAGTGTATTGCTGACCATTCTCCTAGACCTAACACACCAGGGACCCCATGGCTCTGCCTCGCCAACCAGCAAGGTCAGTTCTAGCATGAGATGACAGCGCTCTGGAGTGTGTGAGAAAGGTAGCTCCTTGGGGTGGGAGGAGCTGAAGTTTTGCAATCTCTTTATGCAGGCTTGAGAGGCTAGGGCCAGAGAAAAGAGGTACTGATTACTAAGTGCAGCGCAGGTGATGTGCCAGGAGGCTTGGTTGTTGCCGTGAGCCTTCGCAGCATCCCTGTGAGCCACACTCACTTATCCGCATTAGAGAGAGGAGGAAACACAGGCTCAGGGCCCAAGACATAGGAAGCAGCGGAGCCAGAGCTTGAGCCTCGCTCAACTGATTCCGGATTACCTCTCTGACCCACTTCACCGCGCTCAGAACAGACATACGTGATGTGTGGGTGGACAGAGGGATCATAACTTCAGGGAAGATAGGAAAGAAGATAATTACCTCACTGTTTGGTGACCTCAGTGTCTGAGCCTCAGTTAACATGTCTGCAAGATGTGGGAGATACTAGAACTTAACTCCTCAGACCGTGAGGATTAAATAGGATCATGGGTGCTGAACACTTACCATGATTGCAGTATATTACTGTACTTAGGAGGCTTAATCTTTACAGCTGAAATCATAAAAAACTAAATATTTATCACATTGCCTTGTAATAATGTAGGGCCTGGTGAATACATCTATTCTGTTAGATTCTAAAGCTTTGCTAAGATGTTCTGTTCATTCTAAAGTGAAATCCATGAACCAGCAGTAGCCTCAGCAGTGGGGGCTTCCAGGGAATTTGGAAGCAAGGAGGACATGAGCCTCTTCCTGCCCCAGGGTTGTTAAGTTAGAACCCATATTTAGCAAGATCTGGAATCAGAGAAGTGCTTGTCCAGAGGTGCTTTGATTTGGGACCATTTGGGAACCTTTAGTTCTGAGACTCACTTACTGGTAGTCTCAGGCAGGTCCATGCACGACAGCTCACTTTCCCTCAAGGTACCTCAGTTTCTCCTCCTCCACCCTGAAACCAGTTCAGAAACCTTGAGCTCTCACGTACCTGGCCATCTTGGCCAATGAAGAACTCTCTCTAACCCGGCTTCTCTTGTATTCTCTCTCAGTTGTTGATGACGAGCTATTCCATACGTTCCACGGTGGTGTCGCGTTATGCGCACACTCTGGTCACCTCTGTTCTCTTCAATCCACACGATGAAGCCCATGAAGCCACCTTTGACCTGGATCTTCCTCGCATCGCCTTTATCTCCAATTTCACAATGTAAGTCCGCTTCTAAACTAACGGTTTCATTCATTTGTTCACACGTTCATTCAGCCTGCTTTCTGCTTCACTAGTGCAGAGCGGTTAAGAGGATAAATTTTAAAATCAGACTCCTTGATTTTGATTTCTTCCTCTGCCTACTGTGGAACTCAGGACAAGCTACCTAACTTTGAGTCTCCTTTTACACATCTGTAAAATGCAGATAAAATTAGAAATCACTTGCAAGGATTAAATAAGACATGTGGACATCTATGCTAACGTAAGTGCCTGGTGTATGATAAATACTTGATAAAATTAGCTTTAAAAAAAACCTTTTCCTGATACTGAAGGCATGCCTGACATGGTTCTGGCTAGATATGATGGACAAATGGACTACACACAGTTCCTGCTCTCAGTCCTACTGTCTAATGGGGAACCCACAAAATGAGTCAGCTGATTTAAATAAAATACCCTAGGAGGAAATAGAAATCTGAATGCAAAATGGTGGGGACCCCAAGGTCCAGCAGGAGACAGGGATCAGTTCTGAACTCCCATCAGTGGAAGAAAACCTTGGATAAATGACACTCAAACTGAACTTCAATCATGAGATGGTCACTAACCAAGCACTATGGAAGTAAGCCTCAAAAATTAAGGCAATAGAATTAAAACACAAATATTCCTGGATGAGGAGAAAGTGCATGTACCTCTATGTCACTGAAGTGCAGGCAATAGGCAGAGGGTAGAAGAGTGGTCAGAAGTGGTAGTTGAGGGGTAGGCAGAGACTCGGCTCTCAGGGGCTCCAATGGGAAACCAACTCCATGGGACACACATAGATTAAATATAGAACGAATGCATATCTTGAGGGATGAACATATAAGTCATCAAAGAATAATGGAAAGCTCTAGAAATAGACTGTTAATATTCTCCCATTCCCTTTCACTTGTCCCCAGCATCCCAGGGGCCTATACAGTCCGTGTTAGAGATAGTTGGGCTCTTCAGTGAAGAGACGTGGCGATGTGATAACCAAGGAGTGACCATAGTGATGCAAGGCTAGGCTGGAAGAGGCAGCCAAGAAGCTGGGAGGTTGAAGAGAGTCCTGTGCTAGAACATGGAAGGAGAACATGACAGTGGACCTTGAGAGACGGTTGGAGGGAGAAGCAGCCTGTTCATGATGGGAGCATAATTGGCGATTGCCTTTTTCTTTTTTGTTTGATTGGATGGTATGAGATGAAGAATGAAGGAAGAGGAGTGGGTGAAAGGAAAGCTTTGTGGGGCTGCATTAACCCACATGTATCATAGTGTGAGTTACGAAAAGGCTTCTGGATTTGGGGTGTAGCTAGGATGAGGTGTTGTCCTAGTATACCCAAAACCTTGGATCCAGTTCCCATCACCGGGTAAAACTGCCGTGGTGGCACACACCCGTCATACAAGCACTTGGGAAGTGAAGCAGGAATATCAGGAGTTCACGGTTATCATGCGCAGCTATGTATAGTGTGCTCGAGTTCAGTGCCAGCCTTAGTTACAAGCGAGTCTGCTTCAAGAGGGCAAAATGAAAGAGGATGTCTGTCTTTGAGTGGAGCCGCTCTCAGAGTTAGTAGATCAGAGAGTTCAAGTCAAACAGAATTTCTGCCCTTGCTCGGTCATTCTCGCCCCATGACTGGGAGCAGGCTCGTGTGCTATAAACATTCTTTACAGCCCTAAGCCCATGTCCTGCCATCAAGAATCTCCAGGCTGCACGTTGGAGAGTGGCTAGGTTGAAAGAGGTGATTGGTGTGAAGTCAGTATAGGGAAGAAAAAGAACAGAGATAACGAGGGGGGACTTCCCTGCAACAGGGCTTCCAAGTGGGTAAGACTTGAAGCAACCACGATTGCTGCAAGTAGAGGACCAATGAACCAAACACAAGAATAAAAGTGATCCCCCAAACAAGCAAAGAAACCCTAGGCGTGATAGCAAGTGTGGGGGCCGACCTGAGAGGTTGGTAGTTAGCTGATGTAAAGACCCAGCAACAGGCAGAATAGGGGTTCGTCTCAATAGAAAAAAAAAACACCGAAAGGATTTTTTAAAAAGTTTAGCAAAGCAGGCTGGAGAAATGTTCCTGGGCAGACTCTGTGGAAAGTATGCTGGCTGGAGGCAGCATACACACAGAGGCCCCAGTGTGCTACTGCCAGAGTCGCTCCACCCTACCACCCCAGCCCCCAGGAGACCTTGAGGCCCAGCCAGCTCTGTCCACCCCCACACTAGCCCAGCCTCAGCAATACTGTTTCAGCTGCCTTGAAACACTCCTTGCCTAAGTAGCCTCTTCTGCCAGCGGCATATCTCCCCTTAGCATTCCTGGAAGCTGCGACTATCTGTGCCCTAGTTACTCCACTTGAGAAATGGAGACAGCTGTTCTTGCCTCCCACAGAGGTATATTAATGTTCTCCAGGACATCAAATTCTCACGGCTCAAAGGTAGCTCTGACCCCATCGCTTTCTTCCCAGCTTGAGATATATCCAACACTTCACATTCCTCCTTGCTGCAATATGAGCCCTTTGAGTCTTGAGTTCAAAGCCCTGGATTCTCTAACCTTCTTTCCCTAGCTCCCTTCTTTTTGATCTACTAGTCCGTGAGACCCATGGGGACTTTTCTCACTCGTTCTGGGACACTCATTGGGAAGGGATGGAATAAGTACTGCATGCCAGGCATTAGCAGCAAACCAGGCAGACGTTTCTTTGCCTTCAAGGAGCTCAGAGTCTCCTAGAGAAGACAAGACCCAAAAGACATAAACTAATATGCATCCGTTTGTCTAGGAGAAGGGCTTCCAGAAAAGAAGAGTAGCAAATAGAGCAAAGGAGACAGAGACTGAGTAGAGGGACCGGCCTAGAGTGGTCAAAGACCAAGTGACATTGAGCAGAGACCTGAAGAGAGTGGTGTGCAGACTTACAAGATCTGGAAGAGGAACGATGTTCTAAGCCAAAGGAAGAATAAACAAGTTCAAAGAAAGAGCAAGGGACACTATACACAACAGCTAAGAGTACAGACAACCTAAGGGTCTAACTCGTGAGTGGATACCTAAATGCACCAGAAAAAGAAGTGAAGTCCTGTCACTTGTGACAACATCAACGGGCTAGGCATGGTGGTCCGTGCCTCTAATCCCAGCAGAAGGAAGGCTGTGGATAGACTATTGAGAGCTCAAACCAGCTTAGACTGCATACCAAAACCCTGTTCCAAAACAGTTGTTTATCTTTTGTTTTGGATTTTTCGTCATTTGTTTGTTGGTTTGTTTTTAACCCAGTTTTGAGCTGGGTACAGTTGTTCATGTCTATAATACCAGCACTTTGGAAAACTGAGGCAGAAGGTTTGGGAGTTCAAGGCCAGCCTAAGGTAGAGCAAAACCCTGTCTCAAAAACAACAACAAAACACCCTCCTCAAATTTGGGTTAGAAAGATGACGTGGCAGCTAAGACCACTTTCTGCTCTTCCAGAAGTCCTGGGTCCAAATTGCAAGTACCCACATGGCCGGACACAACAACCTGTACCTCTAGTTCCAGGAGATTCAACACCCTCCGTGGTCTCTACAAGTACCAAGCATGTACATAGTGTGCAGTTATATATGCAGGCAAAACATCCATGCACATAAAATAAAATAATAAATATAATTGTTTCAAACTCTCAACCCCTGCCAAGTGGACAGGAGGGGAGATCTTTATGGTAAGTGAAGTGTATCAGGCACAGAAGGCCCATGCCCAATGCTGTCATGCACAGGTGGAATGGAGATAGCTAATTTCTTAGAATTTGGGGGTGGAATGATGGTTTCTCAAGACTGGTAGGAGTAAGGGGTTGGGAGAGGTGGGGAAATCTGATCACTCTTAGATAAGGACCACAGCTCTAAGACATTGCTGTGCAGTGCAGGTGACCATTGTGCACTACTCTTCAAAGGGTCAAAAAAGGATTTTGAAAGTTTGAGCACCAGTGATAAATGTTTGAGGAAATACATGGTTATTCTGATTTAAACAAGGCATACATGTATGATATGGGTATTAAACATTAAACACTCTTTAGGACATACAACTTTTATGTGTTTTGTGTGTATATATATGAGTTTATATGCATATTTGCATATGTTATGGAGTCCAGAGGTTAACTTGAGGTGTCTCTCAGGCACCATCTAACATTGTTGTGAAACAAGCTCTCTCACTCACCTGGAACTCGCCAGTAAGCTAGGCTGGTTAGCCAGTGAATCCCAAGAATCTATTTCTTTCTATCTCCCAAATGCTGGTAGTCCAATAATGCCCCATTATATATTGCCTGTCTTTTTTAGCATAGGTTTTGGGATTTTACTTGGGTCTTTGTACTTACAAGGTAAACATTTTATTAACTAAGCTATCTCCTGGCTGCCATCATATATACTTTTAAGTATAAGTTAAAAATAATTTTAATTTTTAAAATTATCAAGAGACAGAGGCAAGAATATTAAGTTCAAGGCCTTTTGAGCTGGATGTAAGCCCTGTTAAAACAAAATAAAATCCCAAAAAATGAAGGAAAAAAGGCAAGAAGATCATGCTACATAGTGAGTTCAAGGCTAGCCTAAACTACACAGTGAAGCACTGTCTCAACAATATGATGATATAGTTTGGTCACATAGAACTGGCATACCATGTGCAAGAACTTAAGTTCCATGCCAAGCTTTGCCAAAAGAGAGAGGGGGGGAAGAGGGAAGATGGAGAGAGGAAGAGAGAAAGAAGGAAGGAGAGGAAAGAATAAAAAGAAGGAAGGAAGGAAGGAAGGAAGGAAGGAAGGAAGGAAGGAAGGAAGGAAGGAAGGAAGGGAAACAGTGTGACTAGAGCAGGATGAGTGGCCGAAAGAGTAGGAAGCCATGGGGTTGAAGAGGTAATAGTCAGCCATAATGTGTAGACCACAAAGAGCCTAGTGAAGAGTTTTGCTTCTATTCTCAGTTGAGATGGAAGCCTCAGAGAATTTGAGCAGTGAAGATAATGTGCCTTGATTTTATCTTCATAACACAATATGCCAGGTATCATGGTGAATGCCTTAAATCTCAGCACTCTGGATGCAGATGCAGGTAAATTTCTGCTGCTCTAGGCCAGCCTGGTCTACACAGTGAGTTCGGGCCAACCAGTAGTATGTAGTAAGACCCTGTCTCAAATAAACAAAAGATTAATAGATGTTTCTACCACTATAAGAGCAATGAATAAAGAGCAATGATTTAAAGAGGAAGACCAGTTGGTAGGTGTGATGGTTAGTTTTTTGTCAACTTGACATAAGCTAGGCTCATCTGGGAAGAGGGAACCTCAACTGAGAAAATCTCTCCATCAGATTGGCCTATCAGAAAGTATGTGGGTAATTTTCTTGATTCATGATTGATTTAGAAGGACCCAGCCCTCTGTGGATGGTCCCAGCCCTAGGCTGTTGGTCCTGGGTTGTATAAGGAAGCAGACTGAGCAAGTCATGCAGAGCAACCCAGTAAGCAGCTACCCTTCATGACCTCTGTATCAGCTCCTGCCTTAGGGTTTCTGCCTTGCGTTCCTGTCCTGGCTTCTCTTCATGGTGCATTGTGAGCTCGAAGCTGAAATAAACCCTTATTATTCCCAGGTTGCTTTTGGTCATGGTATTCATCACAAAATCAAAAGGCAAACTAGGACAGCAGTGGCGTATTGGTGACAGACCTGGCCACATTGTTTTGGGGAGGACTGTGGGAGATTTTGAAACTTTGGACTGGAAAAGCTATTGAGTGATCAGAGGGGCTGTCCTGTGGGAGTGGGGAAGAGAAGAATCCTGAGAGCAATACAGATGACACAGACCTGGACCGTCAAGTTTCCTAGGGAAGCTAAGTCTCTATCAGGCTGTTCCTATATTTTAAATTAAGAGTCATTGTATTTTGGTCAGCTGGGGCTGAAAAATCAGATGTGATTAACAAGAGACCAGCATCATTGAGGTGAAATCTTGTGGGAAGTGTCTTCTTGGAGTTATCTTACAGAAACTGGGGTCCAGGAATGCCAAAGCTGCATCTCAAGCAGGTAGCTGAACTTTGTAATGTGTAAGGGTCTCCTGCATAGTGCCGTTTTTTGAAATTGTGAACGAGTCATGGAGAACAGCTAAGGTTCAGCCCTGTGCGAGCCGGGAGAGGCCATTGGCCAAGATGAAACCTCAGTTGCAGTGCAGCCCCAGCATGCAGGTGCCAGGACTATGGCATGACAAGCAAAGACAGTAGCAAGTGTAGTGTGTAGCTGGCCTGAGCCTAAGAGACTAGCTGTGGGTACCGTCGATGGCAGAGCTGGCGAGGAGGAGCTGCCTGAGCACTCTGGAGCCCAGGAGATTGTGAGTAAATCCCCGGCGCTGGATTTTTTACACTGTTGGAGGCTGGTTTTGCTTTGATTGTAGCTGTGCCCTGGTTCTTCCCTCTTGGGATAAGAAATATGTAACTTTTTTTTTTCAATTTTACAAGAGCTCATAGTTAGGGGCTTTGGATTTGTAGAGACTTTGGATATCTTAAAAAGGCTGAACTTTTTAAAAAAGTGTTTGGATGTTTTAAAGAATGTGAGACTTTTAAAGTTGTTCTGTTTTATATTATGATATTAACATGAGATCTTGGAGACAAACAAGATCTTGGAAAGAAATGTTACAGTTTAATAGTGATGTATTTGTGTGTAATGTTGACAACAGGTCCTTGTGGTGATTTTTTTTTTGTCAACTTGATTCAGACTACAGCCACCTGGGAAGAGGCAGCTCATCTGATAAAATGTCTCCATAAAATTGGCCTACAGGCAAGTCTGTCAGGGCATTTTCTCTATTAGTGATTGATGGGGGGGCTGTGCACTGTGGCTGGTGCCATCCCTGGGCTGGTGGTCCTGGGTTCTATAAGAAAGCAGGCTGAGCAAGCCATGGGGAGCAAGCCAGTGAGCAGCACCCCTCTATGGTCTCTGCATCAGCTCCTGCCTCCAGGTTCCTGCCCTTCTTGAATTCTTGCCCTGGCTTCCTTCACTCATTAATAAAGTACGAACTAAGAGCTGTAAGGTGAAATAAGCCCTTTCTCTCTTCCACTTTCAGCATTCCTTGGTTGCCTGTATTTCTTTGTATAGGGTTGAGGCCTCATGACCTTTCCTTCCATGTTAAAATATCTATTGATGTCTTCCTTGTTCAGGTCATGGGTAGGCAGGCATATTGTTGAGACTTCATGGGTATAGCTTCTCTGACATTCTAGAAGACTTATGGCAAACTTCATGTTCCTCTGACTCTTACAATCTTTCCATCTCCTCTTCTGCCATGGTCCCTGAGCTTTAAGGTGCAGGTGTCGTATTGTAGATGTACTAGATGGGAGTGGACTGCACAACTCTGCATTTTCATCAGTTGTCATTCTCTGTAATGAGTTCTGTTTGTTACAAGAAGTTTCCTTGGTTAGGGAATAGAACTACACATATATGTGAGTGTAAGAATAAATATTTAGAACATAGTTAGAGATTCTGCTGGTTTAGTAAAGTGGCAGTTGAAGGTTCTCCTCCAAAATCCATGATCATTAGCCCTGGTAGTTGGCTAGGTTTCTAGTATCAGGCATGATTTCTCTCTGGTTAAGAAGATCTTAAGTCCAATTAGAGAGCTGTTGGTTAACACAGGTATATATGCCACTACTGCACTGTTAGGGTTATTGTGCCATGCTGGTCATTGTTGTGGTTCACAGGAGTCATAGGTGGGTAGGGCTGTTGGTTGCTTCCCTACTTTGGAAGTTTGTCGGCTGCATTATGGTACTATGAACACTAGTCCTCAGGGAGAGGCCGTTCAGGTCAGAGCCAGCTCAAGTCATTTAAGACCTGTGTCACCGACAATTTTAACCACTACATCACTCACATTATTTACCTAATGTGTTTTCTTTAAAAAGACACACTTTTAGGTTGTTCATAACCTAACAAGCAGCAGTGCCTGTGAGTTGTTGGAGTAAATAGTGTGTGTGTGTGTGTGTGTGTGTGTGTGTGTGTGTGTGTGTGTGTGTGAAACTTGAGATAGAACCTCACTAAGTTGAGTAGCTTGTCCTGGAACTCACTAAATACCCCAGAATGGTCTTGAATTTGTGATTCCCCTGCCTCAAATTCCTGAGTACTGGAATTATAGGTTTGCACCACCATGCTTAGCTTGATATTGCAGCAAATATACAACTATAATACAAATGTTCAGCTATGTTACAACTAAAAATATTATTGTGTGTTAAAAGACAAGCATGATTCAGTACTTGGAGAAACACAAAACTCCAACATGTCTACAATATGTTGTGTGGTCTCTCTTTCCCCACTGGACAAATAGATTTCAGGAGAATATTTCCCTCTCCCTCTCTCATTCACATTCGTTCTTCCCACTCGCTCTTGAGTTCAATGACAGTTTTGTTCTTTCTTGTTCCTCTTATTTGTATCTATGTTTTTGACCATCTATTTTCTTTCTCTGTCTCTGTTACCCCTTCTTTCTTTCTGCCCCATCAGGACCATCGACAATAAAGTCTATGTTGCAGAAATCAAGGAAAAACACCAGGCAAAGAAAATCTATGAGAAAGCCTATCAGCAAGGAAAGACATCAGCTCATGTAGGCGTGAGGTAAGGCTCTAGCTGGTCTGAAATGTGATTTAGCCATCCTAGCTGTGTGACCAGGAAAGATATTCCTTCTCTCTGGACCTCATTCTCTACTTCTGTAAAATAAAAACAATGATTTCTACTCCATAGGATTACATTAAGATTATGTGAGTCACTAAATATCAATGCCTATAACAGTAGATGTTTAATAACTGGAAGTTTACTTCCCTAATTCCAGCTGTCTTTTGCTAGAAAGATGTGGCTTATTTAATAACTGGTACTTTGTGCGAAGATTATGAACAAGTGAGTTTTTTCTCTTCCTTTCTTATTTTTGTTTTTAATGTGGTATTTTATTTATTCTTGGAAAAGTTCATACATTTATACAATGTATTTTGATCATATCCAGCTTTCATCCTCCATCCAAGCTCTCATATACCCCTTCAATGGATCTCTCTTCCAACTTCATATCCTCTTCTTTTGTTCTTTGTAATGCTCCGAATTCAATTAGTGCTTCCCACATGCAAATGGGTGTGGCCCATTCACTGGAGCGTGGGCAGCCTACTAGTGACTACATCTTCCCAATAAAGATGACTTTCCCTCCCCCCCCCCCACAGAAGCCACCAACTAACTCTTCGGTAAAAAGAGTGGGATCTCATGGGCTCTTCCCCCATCTGCGCTGGGGTTTTGGTTGACTTCATCTCATGCAGGTCTTGTGCATGCTGTCACAGCTGCTGTGAGTTGTTCATGAATACAAAAGCCATGCCATATGCAGAAAGCATTGTTTCATAGGATTTCTTCAAATTCTTCGACTTTTGCATTCTTTCTGCCCCCTATTCCATGATATTACTTGGACATCAGAGGCGATGACATGAACATCTTATTTAGGGCTGGGTCACTTACTCTGAGCATTTGACCAGTTATGGATCTCTTAACTAATCATTATTGAATGCAAAAGGAAGCTTCCTGATCAAGGTGGAGAGCATTTTAACAATATGACCATTTAGTAAGACAACAATAGTAGGTTCTGTTTTAGGGCCTATGGCCTCCTCAGGCATTAGACTTTTGACAAGGTTTTCAGTACCAGGCATGAAATTCCTCTTGTGAAGGATGCCTCAAATTCAATCAGAGAGCAGTTGGTTACCCCAGAACTGTCCTACTCCCATTCCATCTCTTGCCTGGTTCTCTGATACTATAGTGCACTAGACACGGCTCTGGGAAAGACCGCTGGTCAGTCTTCTTCCCCGAGCAGCCTACATAAGACCTTCCAGCACTAGGGAAGCTAGCTAGCAGGAAGGAAGTTTCCTGGTCACTTCGAGATTGATTTATCTATTCCCTGCCACGAAAGTGTGTGGTGTCTTCAGCAATAAGGTTTTACCATCTTTCTATAGTGAGAAAGTCAGAAAAATGGTAATGGTCTATAGTATTTGGGGGCTTCTGCACCTCTTGAATAATAATAACTCATACGGAGGTATCCCCCACCCCACATTAGAATTTTTGTTTAATAACCCTTGGCTTCTGAGAGTAGCATTTCCACCTATGTAGGGCACCTCCATTAAAACTACTTTTTAAAATGCTGTTTTTAATTAGCTGGCAAAGTGGTGGGTTTCCGTACATTCTTAATTTTGGTTAACCCATCTGCCATATCCTCATCTCCTCCATACCTCAACTCTCACCAGTATTAAAATTTTAGACTCCAAGCACACATACTATGATTTCTGTCCATCTTTGCTTTCCTCTGTGGCCAAACCTTGCTTCCAAAGTTCTCTTAATTGGGCCCCACGATCTCTGGGTTCCATGTTCCCATTAGCTTTGCTTCCTTCCAGTGTCATCATAGTCAGTGTGGATAAAGGCAGGCACGGGGGTCCTCAGCTCCCCCTGTCACCTTAGTGGTTCCCCATATGCAAATGATGTCCTTCAGAAACAAGGCCAGCAATTACTCTTGGGCAACATTCTTCTGTCCATCCACAAAAGAAGAAAACAACAACAACTTTAGACTCTGCTCTCCCCCACTTCCTTCGTACTACATATGTGCTACTCATCCCATTAAGGCCTCTTACCCCTTCCCCCGCATTCATGGACCCTTTCTGGCTTCCTGACTTGTACAGACACTCCAAGGTAAACATGGATATCTAAAAGTTTGAAGTTAGGATCCGCATGTCAGAGCTAAAATGTAGTATTTGTCTTTCTGGCCTGAATTAACAAGTGAAACTTGCCTAAATTGACCCTTATTTCTTAAATGGGTCCCCTTTGTCTGGTATGCATATTATGTTTTTAATGGATTCCCCTCAGCTCCTAAGAGATTTTCATCTTGCAGGAATACTTCAGATTTTGCTGCTAAAAACTGAGTCGTTGCCATATAAACAAGTTCAGTTTAACACAAGGATCAGGCAGATTTGAGAGACTATTTAAAGGGAGAGAGGCATTGTTTGTGTACATTCAAAACTCTTTTTGTTAAATGAAACATTAGCCCCGAATTGTTCTATTCAGAAAAATCTCCGTTCAGATTTTTATCAACCATGTTTCCCCCATAAGGGGGAGAGCTACCTTTGAGATCATTTTCCAGGTAGAATGTTCGGGGGCGGGGGGGGGGGGGGCGAGGGAGGAAGGGAGGTTGGTGAGTAAATACCTGGATGATGGACTGTGGTCCGGGGACTTAATTGAGACAGAAGCCTGATCAGGTCAAGTTGGTTAAGCATGAGGTTTAGCAGAAACCTGCCATCTAATGATTTTGCTATGCCACAGGAGATCCAACACCCCTCCCGTCCATTCTACTTCTTGTCCAGGGACCGGGAATCAGAGAAATTTCAAATCTCCACTAGGCTGGCAGCAGGTACAGAGGTAACTTTTGTCCTGGCCTATGAGGAACTTCTACAACGACATCAGGGCCAGTACCAGCTGATGGTAAGCCTGAGACCTGGACAGCTGGTGAGGAAGCTGACTGTAGAAATCGCTGTGTCTGAGAGGACGGGCATTGCCTATGTGCATATACCTCCACTGAGGACCAGCCGAGCGAGCACCAACAACCAAACAAGTATGTGGGCAGTGCGAGGAGATACTAAAGATATTTACATTCTGTGAATGGAAACCTTGGACATTCTATGGAACAATCTTTCAGTAATGTCCCTGTACCAATTTCCTTCCCAAATCAGAGAGAAGGGGGCTGGTTTAGAGTTCAAGATTTTTAGAGTTCACTATCGTCCCAATTCCTGAAGTTAGTATGAAATTGGCATGAAGTAGAAGCTTCTAGAAGTACAGATTCAATTACTAAAAATAATTAATGGGCCAGGGTTGGTGGCACATGCCTTTATCCCAGCTATTATGAGGCAAAAACAGGTACTACTGTGAGTTCAAGACCAGCGTAGCCTACATAGTGACTTCCAGGTCTAAGCGGTGAGACCCTATCTCAAAACAAACAAACAAACAAACAAACAGAAAACTGATCACCATACTTTATTAACAATCTTGAAGACTGCAGGAATCATGGAGGATGAATCCTGCTTTTTCATAAGTGACCACAAAGAACAGGAGGAAAGCAGAAAGGCAGTACAGGATTCTAGGATGCAAAGAAGGATCTTGAATAAGAGGCTTAAAACCAAGTGCATCAGTGGGGTTATGACAGACATGGCTGTAGTACAATCAGGATTTAATCTTAAAAAAAGACATAATCTAGGACCTCATCCTACTGGAGCCTGGTGTAGTAGGCTTGAGTTAGGACCACAAATCTCCATGTTTAATCAGTCCACGAAGAAGTTCATATACAACCAAGCTGGGAGAATCACTAAACAAACTTAAAATGTCCGTGGGAATTGAGTAGACAGAAACAGGGAAATTACATAATTCAAGAGGCTAGCTACCCTGGCAAAGATTTTAAGCCCAGATTTGACTGATGGGAGCCTGCTCAGCCAGAAACACAACATGGTGCCCTTGGTGCAAGTTGGGTTCCAAGCCAAGATGGACTTTGTCCTAGGACAGAGCCATGTGATCAAGGCTTCAGTTTGTTGATCTGTCGAATGAAAGAGACAACTATGACCCAAGACCACAAGAAGAGGTTTATTTTCCAGAGCTGAGAATGCATCCTAGGGCCGTGTTGATGCAGGAGGTCATTCTCCCACAGAGCTACTCCCTAAGACCCACTGCAAAATGCGGGCCAAGCCTCCCTCCACGGGATTTAATGAATGCTGGCCGTGGTGCTATCCTTCAGTTCCATTTGACACTCAAGGAGGTCCAGGTGTACTTCCAACTATCTTGCCCATGAGCTCACATCTGACCCTCCAATAACCCCTTCTGATCAAAGAGCTACTGTCCCCTCTATGCTGTTCCTAAGGAGACTGGAGCTCAAAAAAAGAACAAGTGGAGGAGAAAGGGAACAAGTGGCCCTGGGCAAACAGGGCACTATCAGGGACCTGGGCCCATGGGCCAGCTGAGTCTTGCAGCCTGAATGCTTAAGCCCCAGCTATAAATGGCAGCTCCCTCCCCCTTCTCCTTAAAGGTTAAAACAGAGGATAGAAGTAGTCCTGTGGGGATAAAACAAAACAAAGAGCCCTGGAAGGAAGGAAGCCCAGGGAATGTATGTGAGCAGGCTTCTCAGAGCATGGGGGGCTTGGTTTGCCCCTAAGCTTCCTGACAGCTGTAGCAGGAAGGGGGGGGGTTGTAGTCCCAAGTCTCCATTTTCTGGAGAAAAGGAGACATTTCTAAATGGACACTTGTCTTGAAAGAAAATTCCAGAGGAGTTGATGTTGCAGTTGGTTCAGAGAACGTCCAGAAGTAAAAGGCAGGAGTGATTTCAGGAGACCATATGAGGCTCATTCACATGGTGATTCTCATTCACATGGTGATTCTCATTCACATGGTCCAGGGGCAGAGGGAGAAGAAGAGCCAGGCCATTGTGTCCCAGAGGAGATCCCTGCTAGCCTGCCCTGTCTCACAGCAGGAAGGACAGGAGATGAGCCCAGCCCTGCCACTGTGTCTGTCCCTGTCCTCCCCACCCACTACACTGTCCCTCTAGAGGAGGACACTGATATCCTGGTGGAGCTGGGGACAAGAGAGTCCTCCAGAGACAGGACTTGGGTTGGGTGCTAAGTGAGGCAGGGGAGGTTCTGAGTGAAGGACAGACCCTCCACCTCCAGTGCTAGAGCTGAGGGAGGGCTGGGTGTGGCAGGCAGGGTGTGATGAGTGGGAAGGGCAGGAGCTGGCCACAGGGCTTGTGACAGAGTGGCAATGGGGAGCTGGAAGGGCATGCTTGGCAACTGGAGCAGCTGCGGGAACGAGGGATAGCTTCCCCACCCTCCCCACACATTGTCCCTCTCACTGTCCCCCTTCCATGGCTTTTCTCAATGCCACCTCAACGCCCATACAGGTGAGGGTGACATGCCCCCATCTACCAGGATAAAGAGGGCAGAGACCTGTGTCCACATCACCTTCTCCCCAACACTGCAAGACCAGTCTGCCTTCTCCAGCTCAGGCATCATGGCTGACTTCACAGTCCAGTATGATGTGGTCATGGAAGACATCATTGGAGACGTGCAGGTACCTGGACCTGGGACATGCAGAATTCATTGGTAAATAGTCACTCGGGTCAGAATCATGGTCTGGGCTACATGAAATGTCCCTCTGAGCTTGACAAGATACCTGTGAGAACCAGTCATCAGGGACAAGGTGAGTGACTTCATTCCTTGGGAATCCTGTAAGCAGGCCACAGGGACAAAGAACTGGAGGACTTGAAGCAGGGCCCGAATGGACGCCCCTAGCTGTGTCCTTCATTAGCCAGCTCAGAAGCAGGCAAGGCATTGCTGAGTATTTGGCCTTCCATGCTTTCTGTAGCTCCCAGACTGTCCTGTTGTCCTTGGCTTTCTTGCTGTGGTTGGCTTCTGAACACTTGTTCCCCATCATGAGGCCCTTTCCTGCACAGGAAGTGTGTCAACTCTGAGCCTGCACACCCTGGAGAGAGGGAAGCTCTGTTCTAACAGCTGAGCAGGGCAGCCCTGACCCAGGACCTCACCCTTTCCCCACCCTGGGCTTGCTGGTGAGGTTGGCCAGTGACTGGGAAGTCAGTTCCCGAGGCCTTTCCTGCCTTTCCTCCTTCCAAGCACAACCCCATCCTGCTGAAAGGTTCCAGGCCACCAAGCACCTTTCTCTACCACTACCTGAGCCAGTCCTGCAGAGCACAGGAGCAATGATTTGCTCAGGCTCACTGCTGCCCTGGGTGGGATTCCTCTACATCCTCCACTGCTCAGCATCTGCTTCTT